TATATATATATTTATATTATCGCACAGATCACAAAAGTTCGTGTAAAAATTAATATACATAATGATCAATTGAAAATAGTATTTAAATTATATATACTCGATCAATCTTTCGTTTTTTTTCATATAGATAGAAATACATTTCAAAAAAATATATTTTCGCGCGCTTTTTTCAAATTAGAAACATTTAACTTATCGATCATTCATTTTGTTTTTTTTCTTTTTTTTTAAATAGGAATAATATACATAATAATAAACTGAAAATAATAATTAAATTATATATTCGATCTTTCGTTTATTCATATAAATGGAAATACATTTAAGAAAGTATATTTTCGCGCGCTTTTTTCAAATTAGAAACATTTAACTATCGATCATTCATTTTGTTCTTTTTTTTTTTAAATAGGAAAACAAATCATCGATCCTCATGGATCCGATCGATGACATCATTCAACTACTCTAATCTTCAAAAAATAAAGAAAAAAAAAAGTTACTTTTAAAAGTGAATCGAGATAATGGTCCAACAGTTTTAATGGTGCGTAAAACATCGCGATTCGTATTTTGGTGCATCTGTGCTATCCTGTGATATCCGGACGAATTTAATTAAAAAGAAAAAAAGAAATAGACTGAAGAGAAGATTCGAAGATTAAAAAGGGGAATGAAAATGTACGGAAGTTTTTTGAAATTTGTTTTATTCGTTGGTACCACGTGCAGTTTCGTGGTATTGGCTGATCCTGATCCATCCGATGAATTGTATACCCGGTGGCCACCTACCAATCGTGATGAGGATAAATGTTATGATGCTGAAGGGAAACCACAGGTTAGTTTAATGAGATCATTAACTTTTTTTTTTGTTTTTACTATATTTATACAAGGTGTTACAAAAATCGTATTAATGACCAAGAGGAAGGAAAAAAATACAGACAAAATCAAAGCCAATATAATTATGGTTTATTAATCAAATTATAATACCTTTTTTTTATTTTTTGTGATATACATTTTTAGTTAGGATTACTAAAAAATATGGATCTACAATACTGTAACTTTTTAAATACTTACAAACCAATATTTCTAATTGTTTCATTCAGTAAGGCAACTTTTGGAACACTCCTTTCATTTATCTACATTATTTGCATTCACGTTTTAACTGTTTATTGTTAATTACATATATATATAATGAACAAATAAAAAAAGAAAATGAACGAACAAGAAGAGGTTTCTGTAAACCTAAATCCGAGCTATCTTCATTTCTTCGAATCTCTGTAATGTCGGGTCACAGGGTGAACACATGGCTTTTACCATGTGTTTCACGTACGGTTATAAGATCATATTTTTATAGGTATGTGTGCGTACATGTGTGTTTGCGCGGGTAAAAAAAATAACTCGAATTGAAACTCATTTCATTTATTATTATCATCAATTTTATTGTTTGTGCTTGTATTACATAGTTGATTTTTATTTTTACGATAAATATTTTTCATTTTTTTCTTTTATAAATTAAAAAATTAAATAGAAAAATATTTAATAATTAAAGAGTAACGTATTCTTAATCGTAATATAAACCTTAGTATTTTATAATATTAAATATAATATACAAATTTATAATAATAATAATAATATATTAATAATAATTATTTTATAATATTTTATAAAAAAAATAGTAGGGTTTATATTACGATTAGGAAATTTACATTTATCTAAAATAGAAAATATGCTAAAGAAATTATTCGTGGTCAATGACTTTAGTGCAATCTTGATCTTCGTAGTATTTCGTATATGAAGGAATGAAATATATTATATATATATAAATGAATTCGATTAAAAGATGAAAAATAGTTGCTGGTTATTCATGATTATTAAGATACATATATATATATATGTAACGCTTTTTCCTAAAAGGGAATTGGAACGACGGGTTATCGTAAAAAGGTCCGAAGTTACACGAACTTTTTAAGATAACATAGAAGAATGATAATGTGTGATAGATACGTGACTATCAAATATATTCTTTTTTTTTTCTTTTTTTTGTTTGTTTGCTGAATATCTAATAAATTTGATGAGCAAATATTTAAGAAAAAAAAAAAGAGAATAGGATAAATATAATATAATAATCACGTATGTGATTTTTCAATCTTCCTCTTTTACATTATAACGAAAGATCAATCGGTTCATGTGCGAATTTCTCTAATTGATTATGTTAAGATAAGAAAAACATGAATGAAAAATACTTTTTTTAATTATTGTTTTTATCATTTTTATCTTTTTTTTTAGGAAAATTATGCAAGTTATTTTATATTTCGTGCAATAATTAACACAATTTTTTTTTGAAACTTCGATTATTTTAATTTTTTTTATTATTGTTTCTATTATTGTTAAATTAAATTGTATCTAATTTTTGTTTAGGTCTTGAAAGTTAATTAACTATTTTATTCTTTATTTAATATATTTTTATATCACTTGCATTGACTAACAATTTATGAAACTCGTACGACGGCCATTTTTGTCTTTCTTTTTCTTCTTCTTCTTTAATTAATTTTAATAAAAACCATTGAAGAAAAATTATTTTAATGAATCATTTTTTGCTAAAATAAATTGTTATTAAATTTTTATTCCTTATGTTTAAATTTATTTATATTTTTACAGAGATGTATACCACCCTTCGAAAATGCTGCATTCAACGTACAAATGGAAGTAACGAACACGTGCGGAGAGGAAAGACCAACAGAATTTTGCAAACAAACTGGAATTCAAAGGCATTATTGTGAAATTTGTCGATATGGTGATCATCCAGCATCTTTTCTTACCGATCACGATAATAATGACAATGCAACTTGGTGGCAATCAGAGACCATGTACGAGGGCATCGAATATCCAAATCAAGTTATTTTAACACTACCATTAGGTATCATTATTATTTCATTATATATTATTTTATTTGATTTTGAAGTTTTTTTTTTTCAAGAAAAGGATTTATAATCGAATAAATCATTTCAATTTATTATTATTTGTAAACGTTGCTTGTTAAAATACTCGAGAGGTATGAAAGATTTGATCGTACGAGGAAACAGCATTTCTTGTTTGCGTGGGTGTAGAATCTGTAAAATAACGGATGTTGTATGAGTATTTTGTAAAGTTCTACATTTCGATTCTTTTAATTTTTTAATTACATGGGATATTAAAAATTATATAATAAATATTGTAATTTAATTTCAAACTATTACAATTCATAAATTTCTTTACCTTTTTGAATTACGTGTGTAATATTTAAGAGGTTTAAAACAAATGAAATTATTTGTACAGATTATTAAAATATTATTTACGTATTTATATGCATTATTTTATTTGTTTTAAATGAAGTTTTAAATTATAATCAAAATAATGATTGATATTTTTAATATTTTAAGGTAAAACGTTCGATATAACGTACGTTAGAGTATTGTTTGAATCACCACGTCCAGAAAGTTGGGGTATACATAAAAGGAAGAATGAAAATTCACCTTGGCAGCCTTATCAATATTATTCGGCTACTTGCAGAGATACTTATGAGCTTCCAGATTCTAAAGAAACCGTACGTGGTGATGATACGAGAGTACTTTGTACGTCCGAGTATTCGGACATTTCACCCTTATCGAAAGGGACAGTAGCTTTTTCTACTTTGGAAGGACGTCCCTCGGCATATTATTTTGAAACCAATCCAGCATTACAGGTAGAACAATATTAAGTTTATTGTATTGGGTTGGCAAGAAAGTAATTTTCGGTTTTCTAGTGTGAAATAAAACTCTATTGTTTCTATACAAAAAATGAACTTTAAATTAAATAACTAAAAAATTCGAACATATTAACAAAAGAATAACGAAACAAACATAACGCTATTTATTGATGCAAGCCGAAATTACTTTCTTGCCAACCCAATACATAAATGTTCATATAAATAAAAAATAAAAAAATATAAAATAATTTTGAAAATGTTTATTTATTAGGAATGGGTACAAGCAACTGACATAAGGATCATCTTGGATAGATTAAACACGTTTGGTGACGAGATGTTCGGTGATGATCAGGTTTTAAAATCTTATTATTATGCAATTGCCGATGTTGCAGTTGGTGCACGTTGTGCTTGCAATGGTCATGCTGGACAATGTGTTAACAGTACAAGTGTTGATGGCAAAACTCGAAGAGTTTGTAGGTAATATAAAAAATTATAAATACATATTCAATTATCATTTGAATTACTATCAAATGAACGTCATTTTTAAAAATATTATTATGTTTGTAGATGCGAGCATAATACCGCTGGTCCAGATTGTAACGAGTGTTTACCATTTTATAACGATGCACCTTGGGGGCGTGCAACAACCACTGATGCTCACGAATGTAAACGTAAGTATTTGATATTAACATTATTTTTAATATAAATTTTGTAATTTATCTTATAATTTATTATCGTGTAGACAAACTAGTATGAGTTTTGTAAAAATAATTAAAAAAAAAATGAATAAGAAGAAGACGTGTGTATGTTTCTTCTAGTTGAATTCTTAAGAGAAAGAACGTATATACCTTCAACGATCGGCTTGACATTACACAACTGACTTTACCTTTTACGTCTGTTAGGTGCATTCAAGTGGGGGATATTGTGCACAGTGTAAGAGCATATAATGTAGTTTCTTCCTGTTCAGTAAGACTCATAGTTCTATACAATACGTCGCAATACTAGCTGAAAGATATTTGCTTTCTTTCTTACATTTCTTTATTTTTTTTTATCGTTAACATTTCATTATACAAAAATGAACAAACTAGAAGAACAAATTATTTGAAAAAAAAAAATTAATTTAAAAAATTATACTAACAATGAAGGTGATTATTATATCGGTGGTATTGATAACAAACATTTTAACGTTGTGTATGGCATCACGTTGGGATGGAATATTTTCGTGGTACCCGGTGTACAGTAAGATATTTCATTAAATTTATAAAAGATTGAAATAATTTGTCTTCATTTTACGTGTGTTCATTTCAGCATGCAACTGTAACGGATATTCCGAAAGGTGTTATTTTGACAAAGAGTTGTATAAAGCAACCGGTCACGGCGGTCATTGTTTAGACTGCAGAGCTAACCGAGACGGTGCTAACTGCGAAAGATGTCGGGAGAATTTTTATCAACGTCCGGAAGACAGTTACTGTATAGCTTGCAACTGCAACGAAATTGGTAAAAATTGAAATAATTATTTTCGATATACAATTGAAAACAAAATGTGTTGTGAACAGTAACAATGATTGTATAACTTTACATCAAATTAAAAGTGAAAATATAATTGTTTTAGGTTCGAGAAGTTTACAATGCAACAGTGAAGGTAAATGCCAATGCAAGCCAGGTGTAACAGGCGACAAGTGTGATCGTTGTGCTGCCAATTTCTACAATTTTGGATCCCTTGGTTGTACATCTTGTGAATGTAATGTAGCAGGTTCACTAGCAAATACAGCTAACTGTGATCCATCTACCGGAGTTTGCGTGTGTAAAGAAAATGTCGAAGGAAAACGTTGTCGAGAGTTAGTATTATTGTTTAAACTAAATTATTTATAACTTTGTTTTTTTTTTTTAGGCATGCAACTTTAGTTCCGCCATTTTTATACTTAATTTTTCTTTTTCTCTTAAGTTTTTTTTTCTTCATTTTTTTTTATTTCTCGGCTTGTTTAGGTGTTTTGAAATTGCTTGCTGGCTTACTCCCAATGATTTTGCCAACTCCGTTTGATTTCGATACTTGTTTTTATCGAGAAAAAGATTCAATTTGTCATTGTTAATAACTTTTTATCCTCCACCACCATGCCGGGTTTTTGTGCATAAATCACCACTCTTGAAGCGTTGAAACCGTTCATAACATGATTGTTTACTTATAGCTTTCTCACCATAAATATCTGAGATCTTTTGGTGAGCCTCAGCTGCAGTCATTTTAGAATTAAAAAAATAAAGTAACATCTCTCGTAAATGACGTCTAGTCGGCTTATTTTCTGACATTTCTAATTAGGAATAACTATATGATATAAATACAAATCAACTACTGGTGTTTATGTACTGGTGGTTAGTATATTACCTACTATCAGGTTATGTTGACAAGATGGAACAAGATGAAAGAACACGTGCTAAAAATGCTAATGCCATCTATAGGAAAACGACGGGAACAAAGTTGTATACCTAAACTATGATAATATCGTATATATATATATATATCATTCGCGCATTCAAATTATTAATTATACGTTGTTAAACAGGTGTCGACCAGGTTTCTTTAATTTAGCTTTGGAAAATGAATTTGGTTGTACTCCATGTTTCTGTTATGGTCATTCGTCCATATGTATGCCTGCTGTTGGTTACTCAAAAGTTGTTATTGAGAGTATGTTTGTCAGAGGAAACGAACGTTGGTCAGCTACTGTAGCAGGAAACCCAATACCCGTTCATTATGATCCTGTAACACAAACTATATACGCAACTGCGTTAGATCGTGACAATGTTTACTTCATTGCACCTGGTAATTTATCTATCTATATTCAATGGAGTCTATTTTTTGAAATAGAAGAAGGACTATATTGATTTGTTTTGTTATTATTTACAGACAGATTTCTCGGAGATCAAAGAGCATCGTACAATCAAGATTTATCGTTCTCTTTAAGGATAGGAGAAGCAGGTCCTGCTCCAACTGCACACGACGTAATATTAGAAGGTGGAAATGGTGAACAAATAACGCAACCGATATTTGGTCAAAAAAATCGTATGCCAACAGTTACGGTAAACAAAACTGACAATGTTTTAAATTCGTATTTTTATAAATGGAATGTAATGTAATTAATATTTTCTATAGGCACAAGAATATAGATTCAGATTACACGAGCACAGCGAGTATGGTTGGCAACCAAGATTATCTGCAAAAGCTTTCATGTCAATTCTCTCCAACTTGACCGCTATAAAGATACGTGGAACTTACACGCATCAAGGTAAAAATTTGTTTTTAATAATAAGAAATATTTTTTAAAGGAATGATTTTTAAAATCATATTTATCGTATATTAGGTAGAGGTTCCCTCGACGACGTTAAATTGGAAACCGCACTTCGCGGTGCTGCCGGCGAATCTGCTGATTGGGTTGAACACTGTAATTGTCCTCACGGTTACGTTGGTCAATTTTGTGAATCTTGCGCACCCGGTTTTCACCATGACCCACCAAATGGTGGTCCTTTCGCTCTTTGCGTTCCATGCAATTGTAACGGTCATGCGGATATTTGCGAAGCCGAAACGGGTTAGTAGATATTGTGTAATATGAATTAAACTTGGTGTTTATTTATCAAATTATTTATATATCTTATGATTTAATATATAACAGGTGAATGTATTTGTACACACAATACCGCTGGAAGTAATTGTGAATTATGTAGTCGGGGATATTACGGATATCCCTTAAAAGGTACTCCCAACGATTGTAAGCCATGCCCGTGTCCTGATAACGGTCCTTGTATTCTTCTCGGTAATAATCCCGACCCGATTTGTTCTGAATGTCCAATAGGAAGAACAGGTGAATTATCATAAGTGTATTTACTTCTTATATTCAAGTTATGAGATATTAATTTGGATTTTGTTTTTAGGACCAAGATGTGAAACTTGTTCAGATGGTTACTTTGGTAATCCTGAGAAAGGAATAGCTTGTCGACCTTGTGAATGTAATAATAACATTGATTTAAATGCAGTAAGAAATTGTAATCATGAAACTGGAGAATGTTTGAAGTGTGTCAATAACACTGCTGGCTTCCATTGTGAAGAATGTCTTTCGGGTATATTAACAAAATAATTTGTAACAAACTTTACAATATTTTAATAATTAATTATGACGTTTTTAATGAGCATTAATAAATCATTCGTTAGGTTATTATGGAGATGCTTTGTCTGATAACAGAGAAGATGGATGCAAATTGTGTCAGTGTTATCCACCAGGTACAGTTGAACTCGAAGATGGAAGAGTTGCTCCTTGCGATCAACTTGTAGGTCATTGTCTCTGTAAGCCTCATGTAATAGGACGAAACTGCGATAAATGTGAGGACGGATATTATCATATATTGAGTGGCGAGGTAAATGCATAATTAAATAAGACAATAGACAATATGCACAAAATCATGAAATAGTTTAGGCCATGTTTATATAAATATTTTAGGGATGTACACCTTGCAATTGCGATTTAGAGGGATCTTATAATCGAACTTGTAACCCTGTTAATGGTCAGTGCCAGTGTAGACCTGGAATAACTGGTCAACGTTGTGATACTTGTTTACCATATCAATTTGGTTTTAGCAGGGAAGGTTGCAAACCTTGCGATTGTGATAGAATTGGATCGCAAGATCTTCAGTGTGATGCCAGTGGACAGTGTCCTGTACGTTTTTACACAAATTTGATTTATAACAATCCTTTTATTTTAATTAATCATACGTATATTTTTTATTTTGATCACAGTGCCTTACAAACGTAGAAGGAAGACGTTGCGATCGGTGTAAGGAAAATAAATACAACAGACAAAATGGTTGCGTCGATTGTCCTGATTGTTATAATCTAGTTAAATCTGCTGTCGATAGACATAGACAACGTTTATCAGAATTAGATAATACTCTTAAAAAGATTAATAATAGCCCGACCGTCATAAAAGATTCAGTATTTGAAAATGTATTGAAAAATGTTCAAAACAAAGTGAAGAATTTATTGGACATCACCAAACAAGAATCTGGAAGTAAATAGCAATTTATAAAATTTATATAAATAATATTATTTTCTTGCAACGATACTAAAATTTGAATATTTAAGGTGGAAATAAAACACTCTCCGAGCAACTAGATGAATTGCATAGCCAATTGACTGAAATAGGTCTTATTTCGCAAGCAGTTAATTTAACAGTTGCTGAAACCTTTAAGACTGCTACTGAAGGATCGACAAATGTTAATACAGCGGAAATAGTATTAGATAAAATACATGATCAGTTAACTGTGAGTTAATGAAATATTCGTATTTCAATATTATAAATCAATTTGTGTTAAACATATACATATCAATAATAATAATAATAATAACAGGATGCAGAAGATTATTTAGCTACAGACGGAGCAACGGCGTTAACGGAAGCTAAATTACGTGCCGATCAAGTTGGTCAACAAAATCAACAGATGACAGACATTGCACATCAAGCACGTATCTTAGCCGATCTGTATGTAAAACATTTCTTTCATATCATATCTACATAAAAAGAACAATCTATGAATAATATAGATGAGTAATAATATTATTGATATTCATTTTTATACAGTAATACCAACGAAGCTAAAAAAATTCATATGCTGGCCGAACAAGCTCGAAATACATCCTTGGAAGCTTATAATCTTGCTAAAAAAGCGATAGCTAAAAATTCCAATATGACGTATGTATTGTTTATTAAATTTCTTTTGATATTTCATTGATACAATGAAAGTAATATGAAATTTGAATTTTCTATTATATATCAGGGATGTCTTAAGAGAACTAGAAAACAAATTGGATATGTTGGAAGATCGTATGAACGAAGTAAAAAATCTTACAGCAGTTGCAAGTGCTAAATCATCAGCAGTTTCTCAGGAAGCGTTAGGTTTATCTGTGTTATATTTTTCTCTTCCTTCCGTTGATGTTGACTCGCTTCAAAGACAAGTGGATATTGTTAACAACGAAGTAAATGTTTTCTTCCTTTATTTATTTATTTACTCGTTGCATTATAATTTTTATATCAATTTTATATTGTCTTATTTTTTTAACAGGGATTACGGTTAAAAGAACAAGCACAATTGATATTACAACAAAATGAGGATTATATTAAAGAAATGACTGACAAAGTACGAAATGGTGAACAATTGTTAGATAAAGCGCAAGATCAACAAGCAGTTACAGCAGAATTGTTAGCAGAATTGGACGGTGCAAATGAAACGGCAAATAACGCTGTTGAACGTGGTGACCAAACGTTAAAAGAAGCGCAAGAGACTTTAAAAAAATTAGGAGGTAAAATGTCTTAAATCTTGATCATATTTTTTTTACATCAAGTAGGGTCAAATATAAAAAAAGTTATATACAATATTACATCAAATATAAAAAACTAATTATTTTATTTAGAATTTGACGACGAGGTACAACGCGAACGTATAAAAGCTCAAGATGCATTGAAGAGTACGGAAAAAATTGAGCAAATGATTAAAGATGCGATAGAAAAAATAATTCAACTTAATGATGTATTAAAAGGATCTGAAGATAATGCGATAAATGCTCATAAAAAAGCACAAAATGCACAGGTAAACTTAGAATTAATCAACAAATGGTAAAATCAAATTTATTTGTTTGATTTATTTCGTTTTATCTTAGGCGTATGCTGAAAAAGCTAGTGAAAATGCTGAAAATATTAGAAAACAAGCAAATGCAACTAAATTAGATGCATTGCGTTTAGGCAAAGAAGCAGAAACTTTACATCTTCGAGTTAATGCTACGGATTCTCTAATGAAAAATTATGAAATTCAAATTGGAAAAGATTCGAATATTACTACAGAGGTAACGATTGAAATAATTATAATTTAAATGTAATAATAAATGAATATAAAATTATTTTATAGGCTAATCACAAAGTTGGACAAGCCAAAAACAAAGTAGGTTTAACTTTGACATACGTTGACAAAGCATTGTCAGACATAGCTGAAATTATGAAAGAACTTCAAGATCTTCCTGAAATAGGTCAGTGTGCATAAATTATATTTTTTTTTTATAATATACGAACTTTATATAATAATTAATCAAAGAAAATTTCTTTGCACAGATGATAATAGTTTAAATAATTTGGAAGAACGTTTAGCAGCTGCAGAGAAAGAAATAAAAGCTGCTAATTTAGATCAAAGAATTAGGTTATTAACTGATGCTAAAAATACACAAACTCAATGGGTTAAAAATTATGAAGATGAAGTCAGTAGATTAAGAATAGAAGTTGAAAATATTGATGACATAAGAAAAGCTTTGCCTACAAATTGTTACAAACGTGTACGTTTAGAACCATAAGTAAGTATGTAAGTATGTACTTGAAGAGGCACTATTTGAGTATAAAAACAATTCTTGAATTTTATTATTTTATTATTTTATGACAGGATTTCTCAAACTTTTCCACTTGACGATCTCTTTTAACTAAGTAAAAAATATTCTATATTATCATAAACTCACATAAACATACTATGTATTTAATATTGCTAAAATGGTTTTTAGTTAACACTAGATATACCAGACCAGTCATTTTGACTGGTTTTGACGCCATTTTAATTCAAAATTTCTACTTCATGTTGTAACATTTGAGTTTTGTAAATAATTAAGTGTTTTGTTATTTAAAAATGTCTATAAATCCATTTATCTATTAAAATTATTATTGTTAAACAATTTTGTTATTTTTTAAAAGTAAATAAAGACTGGAAGCCACAAAAAGCATTTTTTTTATGCACCATCATTTTGACTAGTGTGGTAGAAATAGGTATATTGAAAATGGTGGTATATAAAGTGTTAATTTTGAAAAAAGGAATTTTGTAATTTTACTCAAATTTCTACAATTTTGTAACACAACTCTGTACAAGGTGGTTGCAAACTTACACTTTGAGAAATCCTGTTTTGAGGATTATATATGTCAGATAGTTATCATATTATTTAGGTATTCTTTAAAAGAACAATTATCAAACTTTCATATACGTTAAAAAGGTGCCTTAATTAGAATTCACATAAGTGTAGTAGCATAAAGAATAAAAAAATAGAATCAACGTATAATGTCATATAATATTATGTGACAACGCATATTACTTTTAATAATATATTTGCAACATTTATAGTATCTACGAGTTATTAAAGTCGTATAATATTATATTTAATATTCAATTATTTTTGTTTGTTAAAACAAAAAAAGCTTTTTCATATTACTTTTTTTTATTATTTTTTTAAATACATATTTGCTATCGCTAAAAGCAAATGATTGCAATAATAAACATTACACCAAAGATTTCTTTATATAGTTTATACAATATGTCCAAACTAGGATGTCCACAAATCTTTTTTTTTTTAATTTTATATAACTTCTTCATTATATACATTTAAATGAAATCATTTTATATACAAAGTATAATCTATTCGTAGTAGTCTTAACATTATAAAAATTTATCTCAAATTATTAGGAAAATTAAATGCTAAGATGTTCAATTGAAATTTATACCAAGTTACACCTTGGATACCAAGTTAAATCTATCATTATCGCGAATATTTTCTTATATTATTGTAATTTTTTTTGTTTTGTTATGTTATGATTTTGGCATTACGTTTTATTTTATTTTAATTCTTTTTTTAAACAAAAACACATCGATATAATAATATATATATTAACTTTTAAAATTGAATATATATATCTCAACTATATACAACTTATTTTTTCAAATATATATAAAAGTAGTATATAGTAAAATAAATTTTTATATAACATAAGTGCCAATTAATATATAAATACATATAATATTAATTGACATAACGATGAGACAATCTAAGATCTAATTAAAAAGAAAAAATTTTAATTTATCAATTATATTCGTTTGTTATTGCATTTCGATAATAAAAATAAAATGAACAAAAATAAAATTGAATACAAATTCATTATTCAAATTTTGAGGGAGAAAGAAACTTTGAAAAATTATTATATATAACTCTTCTAATGTAAGTATACTTTTATTTTATATATATATTTATATATTATCATAAAATATAGTCGTTAAAAATATATGCAACAAAAAGGAAGAAACACAAAGCAAGGAAACGAAAAATTAGAAAAAATTATAAACTCTTTTTAATTATAATCTATATTGAATCCTATGAAGAAGAACCAATCGTTTGTACAGGAAATATAAAATCTAAGAAATTCATGTTATTATAAACAAAAAGATTATTAATACCAATATAGCGCTCAACACTGCAATGGCCAGCCATTGTCTCCGATCTAAAACAAACGAAAGTAACATCACATGCGTCACTTATATAAATACATCTAAATATGATTTTTGTTTTTATTTTATTTTATTTTTTTTTTTAAATAGCAAGTGGCAATAAAAATCTGGAATACGAGTAGTAGTAAAAGCAAAATTTCATTTTATATTTGGCCCTTCTTCAAATACATTGTGTACATAAACATTTTCACATGCATCAAAACCATTTTTAAAAAGATATTAGTTTCAGTAATATTAATTTTGAGATAAATGTAAAGAAAGATAATCAAGAAAAATATTTTATTGAAAGATTTCATTTTAATAAATATTTGAAATATTTAATATTAAGAATAATAGGTGTCATTATTTAAAAAAACAAAAATATATTAATACTTCGAATCAATGAAATCTTTCAATTAGAAAAATTGAATTGAATACAAGTTCAATATTAATATTTGAACGTGCATATATTATATTCGTGGATAAGGAAAATATTGATGATATTTTTTTAACATCAATGTATATATTAAATAATATATATTTTAGTATATATTTCTAAATTTAATTTTTTTTTCTTTTGTTATTTTTTTTCCTTTCATAATCTATTATTTTTTACTAATTTTACATATTGAAATATCATTTTATTTTGATATGAAGTCTCATAAGATTATAATATTTTTATTATTCTTTTTTTTCATTCTTCTTTCTAAAATGGTCTATACACATATCTTTAATTTTGTCCTAAATAGACACTTCTATTTTTTTTTTTTGTAATTTCTAAAATATCCGACACTCGTTAACAATTTATTGTATTTTAAAGAAACAATCAATCTCAATCATCATACATACAAATATTTCATCTTAAATGTTAATAATTTCATTGAGCAGATTAGAAATGTATGTATGTACATATTTCATTTAATTTTTATACTAAGATAGAGAGAGAGAGTGAGACAAACACATTCAATATTTAAATACCCACCGAAATCTTTCTTTTAAATAGACGAACTTTAAATCACTTATATCACATTGTGTAGATTGGAAGTACAAGTGTCTGAGGTATTTCCAATATCGAAATATTATAGAAAATTTATCTAATTGCTATGCATGTCATTGTTTCTTGTATTAAATCTTGTTATATCAGGTACGTAAGCATTTCCGCTTACCCCCGTTTCTATTTGAAACTTCTGCTCGACAAATATGCTTTTACATTTTTGGCATTGGTATATTGTTTATTCATCTTTAATTCAACAAAATATTAACTATATCCTTTTAAATTTACCTACATATATTATTCTTCTTATTAAATATTACGTCAACGGTATTTTAGATTTATTGTTACTGCTTATAGTTTTTTTTTTTTTTAACACACATCGTGTAATGCTTATTGCACTTTAATATATATATATGTATATATAACTATTACTTTAGTACTCTCATATGTATAATTATGTATATTTCTTTTTAATCTATATCTACAGAAAAAGTATCATTTCTAAGTACATATTATAAGTGGTCCTTTTTTTTCAATTTAAAACTATAAATTTGGCCAAGTATTATACAAAACGGTTAAATAATAATAAACCTTCTCTAAAAAACCTGTTTGTATTTTCACCTGAACAATTAAGCAAATTACACGCTAATTTAGTATACCTTCTCTTTATCTTGTTTTCTTACATTATCATTAACTTCAAATACTTGATGACTGTATTTAATAGTCATTTGGTACATTTACTTTTGCAAAAATAAATTGTTGCAATTATAGGACTTCATAAATACATATCATTTTGTTTTCATCTTCATTTTTTTTAACATTATTATCTGTCATTTTTAAATATATGAAGATAACTTCAGAAATTATTTCAGTATACTAAAATAATAAGAAAAAATTTATATAATTAAGTAGATTGATTATATAAACTTTTATTTTTATTTTAGTGTACTGAAACTATCCCTAAAATTATACCTGAATATTTTGAAACACTTTATATATATATAGTAGGAACTTAATAAATTGAAAGAAAACAAAAAAATAGGATACTCTTCCCTAATACGAATATCTAACTTCTAAGTTTCATATTTTCTAACAACTATAATAATAATATAAATGAAAATTCATTATATCCGACAAATTGCAATATAAATTAATCGACTCATGTAATTTTTTTCTACATTATTGACTCATTTTTTGAAAAATCATACTAACATGAGTATTATATCCTGTATCTTGCATGTATAATATAACAATCACGATATAGTTTACTATTAACACCAAACAGAGGATATTGAGCATACAATAATATACATTGAAAATAATATGAAATTAAAAAAGAAGAATAATGTTAAAATGAGAATAAAAGCTTGCTTGGCTTACTAATGCAAATATTAAACCAGATAAATCTTAAAAAGAGAGTGCAAAAATAGATAAATATTTGACTTTGTTTAAAATAATATCAAAATGGTGTTTTCTTATTTTAAAATCAATAATAATAATAATAATAATAATAATAATAATATGCAGTAGAGATATCAGAATGTTGTAAAAAAATAATATCATTGGTCAATTGTATTAGATAAGAAAAATTCCATAATTTTTCAGCAATTACTTTTGTATACTTTCAACTACTATGATTTCTGATTGAAATAATTGTTATTCATGGAAAAGAAATCTTTCCATTTTTCTACTGAATAATTATGGTATTATAATAATAATCATAATAATAATAATAATGATAAACACATCTAATCTCCAGCACATAAGAAGCAGTTGGTTATTGTAGTTGATAAAGAAGATAAAGAAGAAGGTTTAGAGGTAAGATCGGATACAGTAGATGTAGCTGTGGTAGGGGCAGGTATGTAATTATTATAATTACCGTTAGTCATGTGGAGAACTTTAGCCATTTTCTTCATTGTCGCATCTAACTTAAAGCCTGTTGTTTCTAATTCATTACCAAATTCATCCAGCATACTGTAATTCATATATAAACCATTTTTATTAACATTAATAATAGAAATTTATATATATTAAAACTAAATAATTGTATAACAATTATATATAAATTTATATTGTAAGCTTACATCGCTTGTTCATCTAATTCCGAATTGATTTGTTTGGACACTGTTTTCAGTGTACCAATACTTTCACCAATTATTTCTAATTGTTCATCTTGTTGTCTCATTGTGTCATTCTGTTGTTGTAACGTATCCCCAAGAAATTGTCTGTTTGGACTATCAGTCTCATTTTCAAGCTTACTATATTTAGTCGAAGCATGATTAACGGGAACTCGAGCGGGACTGTTATCCAAAAGAGGCTGAAAGATTAATTAAAATAATATTGTTTTTGTATATTTATCATTTTAACATCAGAAACAAATAATATACACTTTTATACAAATATGAAATATCACATTTACCGTATAAACCATTTTTTCGTTATCGTAACTCATAATACATATACTTAAAATTATATGCAAATTAATCAAGTTTTATAGCAATATACACTTTTTTAATTATTAGAAAAATATGTAAATGAATTTAATTCTTTTGTTTTTTATTATCAATTATTCATTATTTATTAAACACATGAACTAGTCATATTTCCTAACGATTACTTCTTAATCTTCATATAAAAATAAATTAATAAAATTGACACATGTCATCGTTTCTTGCGCAATTATTTGTATTGATCACAGCTGATTCAGACAATAGTGAAATAGTAACATATAGGAACATTGTGGAACCAATCACAACAATTATTATCTAACTATATTTCATAGGAAGTTCGAACAAAATACGCGGTATGATCTTAATCACTGATTGGTGCATTTCAAATAATCGTATTTATTCAAAATAAAAAATAAAAATATTAGTATTTTTTACTGAAAATTTTTTAGTATGTTTTGGTTATTTTTATAATAAAATATAAATAATATTTAAAAATATTTAAACAAAGAATGGAAAAATAATTTTCATCAATATTTAGTCGCGATTTATAAAAATTGCATTTTCCAATAAAGATAAGCTGATAATCTTTTCATTCTTGATAGGATATCTAATCAAAAGAGCTATATTTATGAAACTAATGAAAATATGATACTCAATTATGTTTTATCGAAAGAAAAAAAAAGAAAATAACTGTGATTTTAAAATCAAATAGATTGTACAATTATTATACGTACCTGCCTGGCCGTGCTATCACGGTCTCTACCCCTACTTAAATTCATCTTATCTTTCATAATCTATAACAAAAAGAAAAGGTAATTGTGTTTCATCTTTCATCATCATTCTTGTGTAGAGATTTTTATGAGAGAGAATACTTTATTTTGTTATGTTTTAATTTTACCTTTACTTCTTCACGCGTTTGTTCGATAAAACTTCGTTGAACGCTTAATTCCTTATTATCGATCTTAAATTTCGTTGGATTTTTCTCTACTATACGTATAAATTTGCATATGTTAAAGATCATAATAATTTTTTATTGTAAAATACTGTAATTAAAAAACTTATAACCTAGTCTTGCCGATAAAGAAAATTTAAATATAATCTTCGAATACGCGAGTCAAATGAGAGAAACATAAATTTTAATATTCAAAATATATATCTTTTTATATAAATAAATGATTTTTCTTTTAAAAATCTTTAAAAATCTTACTAAAAAAGTAAATACTACTATTGTATTGTACTTTTAAACGAAATAAAGAAAAATAATATGAATAATATCGATTATGTTTGTTTGTTTTAGTAATTAAAGGATATAAATAGTGTCTTCTAGATCATCGAGATCCCACTCAATTGAGCGTAGAGCTTTTCGCAACTCTGTCGTCGTCCAATCCAATTCTTCGCGCGAAATCGGGATTCCCCCTCCAGCGTTTATTGTAGGACTGGTAACGACATTTTGTAATTCCGTCCAGCGGCCGTATAAACCTCGATTCTTATTTAGAGCCTTGCAAACCTCGCTGAAATAAATTAAACCGTGGATTCTTTCTCTTTTATATATATATAAAAATTATATTTAAATTAATTAATCTTTCGTAATGTAAAACTAAAATATTTCATCCTTCATTACTTTATCGAATTTGATTAACAACGATAATTCGATTCTCTTAAGAATCGATTTAAATTTACTATTCGAGAAATATGATCATTGTTTTACGAATTATCTCGTTTCTTATTCGTAAATAATTTTCTTTTTCTTTGTTAAGTATAAATCAAACAGAAACACTTGTATGTAATGTCATTGATTGTTGACATCGTATTGAAAGTAACGTTTGCAAATAACACAATTGTACATAATCATTAAGCGTGTGGTCACGGTCCGTGAAACATCGTAGCTATTTACCGAGAAATAATATTCACATTTTTCTTGCAAACATTAATAAGAATATCTAACATTTGTACGCTATATATTAAACTGTATATTAATACATATATATATATATACCGATAAAATAATTAATTTTAATGGAGATAAAAAATTAATCTCTTGACAAATGAGAATATTCTAATAATCCGATTGATTCTTTTTAAAACAAAAGAACGTGGTATATTCTATATTTGCATGTAGCTGTCAAATCTGAGCGCTATACTTTGCTAATGTTTTCTTATTTTTTCTTTTTAATTGCAGATTTCGAACAACGACGTTTAATTAGAAATGAAACTTACTCTTTGACGACAAAGAAAGGATTCTCCAGCGTCATTCCTTCTTTAAATTTGTAAGGGCGGCTTTGTTCGCCGCCACACGGCTCCTTCAGAAATCCCCGTCCGTGATTTGACGATCATCGGTGGAAATTCTAAAACTTCCGAGCCAACTTTACACGTAAAACTGGAACGACGTTTACGATAAGGGGTGGAATTAAAAGGAGGGAGAAGAACAAAAAAAAATTTATGACAACGACGACGACGACGACAATCGTCGGACACTTTCTGATATTATATACTTGTCTGTTATCACCGTCTGCAGACGTCCACTTCGGCTGCTACTGCAGACGACTATTTATTCGATTTTTAATGTTCGTGCGCAACTCACACGTTTCTCTCTCTCTAGAATTCGGTTTAATATTGATTTCGTATTGCAACATATATACACGCACAGTTCACATTTATGTACACGATCGACCATGCGACACTACGCGACGAAACACTAAACTAATATGATCTATACTCCAAGATTTTAAATGCAATACTATTGTTATAATATAGAATTACCGGTAGTTATGACAGTAACATGAGTAAAAATATTAATGAACATTTATCTTATATATAATATAAGTAATCGGTATTAAAAGTAGATCATAAAATCAATTTTTTCTAATTTTTCACTGAGGCCATTGTAAATATTAATTCTTAAAACTAAAGTAATTTTTATGTTACACTATAACGTTTTAAATTATTTTCTTTTTCATCGAGTTACAAAATCCTACTATATAAATTCTAATTCTTCTTACTAGTTCTGTTAGAACCTTTGATGATCTAAAACCTTAAATTGCATAGATGCATAGCATCTAGGTTTAATCGTCTTCATTTAACTCAAACTTGCCAACCATTTGTCTATTACAAAAATATATTTTAAATAATTTTCCATAACGTTTATAATTGTAGGTAAATAGAATGAACAACATTGTTCAAGTAGAAAACTTTTTATGTATTTTTTTCATTAACTTTTCATAATATATACACTAGTAAAATAGAAGTTTCAATATCCTATCAAGCTAGCGTAGCATCGGATTTCACAGTTAATATGATGTAAACAAGACGGCAAATATTTCCAACGATACATTAACTAAATCTAAAAATTTGTGCGATTTTTTTAATACAAATTTTATATTATTATTTAATAAATATTAGCGGTTTATATTTTATTTAGAGATTTCAGTGTTTTGTTGAAAATCTCGCATTCTGTTTTATATTAAAATCAAATGATGAAGCACTATGAACTTCTATGTTAATAATATTAATGCATTGACTATATCAGTCACCGGTGCTCTGTATTTATTTTGTTAATGAGCCTACAAAGATCATCTATGACTGGTGTTACAATATTGTTTATATCTTATCTTAGAATTGTGATGTCTATGGCAAAACGTAGACTTGTATGGCAGTCAATGCATTAACAGTATATCGCATAGAAGTACATACTTGAAAAACAATGATCTGCTAAAGCATACTATTGAAGATAATAAATTTGTTTTAAATAAATATTAAATTGATTCTCTTAGATATCCGATGTTACATCATACATTCTAACAAACTATTTTTTTTTTTCATTTTTTACCCTTTTATTTGGAAAATAACTTCTATCTTATAATATACACCATTGTTTTTCTTTTCTCTTCTCATTTCAATTTTCGAACGTTTAATCGATTCATTAAAATTAAGCGAGATTAAATCTATGTTTTCTAGTTTCACAAAATATTATATATTAAAATGAAATGGTTTTGAACAAATCATCAATATCTAATTTTGCACAAAGGATTAGATAGATCTATGAAAACCGAACATTGAACCGAACAAGTGTTTAACAATTGAACAATACAAGCATATACTATCAATGATTTAAGATACTACTGCATTTCTTTTTACATAATATCATTTAACATCCGATAAGTATGCAGTTGATATTAACTGATACTTCAAAAAAAGTATTTTGCTTGTTTCCTTAAATTATTTAAATATGTGAAAGAGCTTTGTTGTTATTGTTTTTCTTTTTTTTTGTTTTTTTTTTTTCTTTTTTCTCAGGTAGCACTCAGATATTTAAGTAAGTCGGAACGACAATTGAATTATCTTTCTTATTAGTAGATAAAAATATGTTTACATCACTTCCATGCTATTTTGTGGATTTTCTGTAAAACCCAATGTAGATGTTGGGGCATCTTGGGAGGTTTCTTCCAGATTTGGTGCTTCCATACCTTCTGGTACACTATTTTCTGTAGAACTAGCACCGTCATCCCAATTAATTTTAAATCTTGTAACACGTGGCTTATCACCCAAGATATTTCTTTGCACTTTGTCAAACTGTGGTTGTGGAGGAGGATTTTCTCTTAGTTCAGGATCCATATACTCGTTGTTAATAAAATAACCAACACGCACAAATTCATGGCCTCTGTAAGAGCACGTTAAGAGTACTACTGTAACACCTAATGCATCATTCACAGGAATTCTACTGACATCAGGAGGATCAGCCTGAAGAAAGAATAAATTAATAATTAGTAGAATAAAAATAGAAATAAAATACAACACCGACATAAGATATTTACTTGGAAGACAAACATATGCCGTCCTTCTGGAATTGGTCCAACGTATATGGTATCCAAAACTTGATCAAACTCCTCTGACTCTGCACTGCCAACGTAGATCATTTTCCATTCCAAATCTACAATGATATTATGCATATCAAATTTACTTTCACGTCTTAAATATTAAATTAAAATGTATAGATTGCAGAAATAAAAATATTAAGCGATAAGACATTGATAAAATAATCAAATGAAACATTGTATGTACATAGGATGTTAAATATAAAATTGAATATTATTATTAAGAAAAATATTATCAAAATGAAAAAGCTAACCTATCGTTCACAAAGATGCATAGATTTAAGACGTATTTACGTAAATTAAACGGTTATCATAGATAATATAGAAGATGTAAATATATACATGAAATGTTATATAAATAATACCTTCTTTCAAATCTTCGATACATTCAAAGGTTACTTCAAATTGAAAAGGATTTAAAAACGGCGAAGGATTGTCGAGAACCGCAACATTTGCAAGTTGTACCTTTGCCATCGTAGAATTTTCGTAAAAATATTAACACAGCAAAGTTTATCTTATCGATTATGTTCGTTTAAACAACAATTAATAATATCGTTGAATCCTTCTCAACAACGCAATTAATTTCACCTTAGTTTCTAACGAAATAGTAAAACCGCACATGAAACTATAAACAACATTCACACACAGCCTTCGGTGGACTTTGGCGGGAAATAAAATGAAGAAAACTTCCGGTAATTGAATAACAATTTAAATTAATGATACAATTATTTTTTCACATTGCAATAATAAAAAGAAAAATAGAAATAAATGAGAAACAATTATTTTTCAAAGTTTATTGATCGATTATTGAATTATTTTTAAATTATTTTTGATTCGTCAATATGATCCCCCTCGTGAATAATTGTTCTTATCTTTCCTGTATCTTTATCTTGCAAGCACAAGATAAATGCAATGCATACAAAATGTGATTATTAAAAATAAAAAAGAAATAATATATCTTAGTAAAAATATATTTATTCCATAAATTATATGTAAAATTTAGATTTTTTTTTATGTATTATATTACAAAATGTCATCGTTGTTTTGATTTTCTTGAAAAATGTTTTTTAGTGAAATAATATGTCTTATATTGGATATTATAGAATATGGTAGATGCGACCAATCCTGGATCAATTTTGTCTTACGTAGTAGAGCGTTGAGGATTTACATTGGCTGTTCAAATAACAATTGAAAGAACGTTACTAAATTTCCCCTAACATTTTTATTACAAACATCTTTCTTTTGCGATCATTTCAATTATTGAACAATATTAATGGAAGTATTCATTTTAAAAATGAAATAATATCAAAAGAAAAATCGTAAGTGATTTTTATACTTTATTTACAAAATTCGTAATACGTACATTTATAAAATAATAATAATAATAATAATAATAATGAAATAATATCAAAAGAAAAATCGTAAGTGATTTTTATACTTTATTTACAAAATTCGTAATACGTACATTTATAAAATAATAATAATAATAANAATAATAATAATAATAATAATAATAATAATAATAATAATAATAATAATAATAATAATAATAATAATAATAATACACGACAGATAAAATATATTTAAAATAACTTATTTACACAAATTTCTTTCTGTATCAACGGGATATACAAAATTATATACGCGTGTTTAATTGTATATAAGAATGTGTACAATTAAATTGTTAATTGTACACATATGATTTTTCTTAATACCTGATATCATAAGATGAAGAATATGTCCATTAAGTCATTTCTTCGTTTTTGTACTGATTTACAAGATATTTATCTATGATCTGGTTAATTTTTTCCTTAGGATCAACTCTCCCTCTTTTACTCTTTCTTCCAATTATGATTCAATTTTTCATCGAATAAAATAAATAAAAATATTCGATATGTCACAGTTATGTTTGGTGGATAATTAAATTGACGATATGAAAATGCATTGTTTTTCATTAAACAATTTGAGGGAACAATGAAACGATTTTTTTCATATTCAATATGAGATGTTGGATCTAGAGTAATTTTAACTCGTTTGTGACTTGTATAATTTTTTTAGGAAGCTGATATTTACTAGCACCTTTGTCTGAGGTAGTAGATGTATGCTGTTTAAAAAAAGGCATGTAGAGATGGATACTGTAAAAGTTTATTTTAGCATACATCTACTTAACCAAAGTGTAACTTCAGCTTCCTTTTAGCAATTCCATAGAACAAATCAAAAATTACTAACCCACATAAGGGAAAGGAGGATAGCCAACTGGTGGAGGATAATATCCAGGGAAAGCTGGAATAGTTGGCTGTAAGGGTATGGTACTCGTCACGTAGGTTGTAAGTTCTGTCGGTACTACTTTAGTAGAAAATAATGTTGTGTACGCAGTTTTTGCTCCGAACATTAGTTTGAGCACTCTTGAATCGGACACTGTCACTAAAGTTTGCGTGACGAGTGGTGCACTTGTCACTGTAAATTGGGGTTGTTGTTGCTGTGGGAAAAGTGGTACTTGGGGTATTGCAGGTGGAAGAACAGGTGGAATGGTAGATGTCGAGTATTCGTAGGATGTCCTTGGTACGGTAGCTACTGGTCTGGATAAAGTCGAGTAATGCGTATTGCCATTATTAATTATCGGTATTACGTGAGATTCGTAAACGGTTTCTAGCACTACGACGGGTCTCGAAGTCGTGATAACTTGTTGCTGTGGTTGACCGAAATATTTGAGCAAAGCAAGTTGCTGAGCTTGTTCAAAAGAAAGTTGTGGCTCAACGGAATTAGTACTATGTGCGTCGGATTTTACCTTTGTTGGCGTTGCCGATCTGAAGAGATCTAATTCGGAGTATATGTCACTGCTAGGTGCTACGATTCTTTTAGGAATATCTTCATCGTCTCTGTCTTCGTCACCGAAATCTAATTCCAAGTGAAGTTCGCTTCCAGCCTCCTCCAATTTCGAGTTAAATTCATTCAATGTCTTGCTAGGAATAAATTGATAAATTTCCATCGGTGGTAGAGTTTTGATAGCGGTAACCGATCGAGCTATGTTGTAGGTCTGAACTAGAGTCAATTTCGTGGTATTTCCATCGTGTATTACCGGTAACAAATGAGTTTTCAGAAGAGTTTGAGTCGTTGAAAATGTTTCCGTAAGCGTTTCTAAAGGTGGTGTTACTTGACCAGGATCTAAAGATATCGCTGGAAGAGTAGCTACGGAGGAATCAAGTGGTAAAGTAGTTTCGTAAGCAGCTCCTGTGTTTGCCAAGATGTTCTCAGTCAGAGGTTCCGTCATTGGTAAAGTACTCGTAGGTTCAGGAACTGCAAACGACTTCTTCATTGTAGACGTAACTGTTATGTAACGCGTGTTTCGTAAAGTTCCCACCTAGAATAAAAGAGGATGATTTAACGATAATTTTTGTATATTGTGTCATATAATTAAATTATCATTTACTTTTAATTAAATCGAGCTTACCTGGAACGAGTAAGGAGATTTAATCGTAGCTATTTCAAAATAAACGTCGTTGAGATTGGCTGCTGTTGAAATCTCAACGTTCAGAGTTTCTACAGGTAAAGTTTGATCCGCGTGTATTTGATCGTGCACGCTAACGTTAGGGACATCTTCCGATTCGCTTGGATCGAGTTCCTCGTTGGACAACGAAGTTTCTGAAATTTTTCGTTGACTATTAGGCGTTGTAGCTAAAGTTGATGTTGTTGTAACAACTCCAACGGAAGTAGTTGTTGTTTTATCATCGCCTGATGTTAATCCCTGTTCAGATATAACCGTTTCGGTTGATACACGTTGATCATCATCGTCTACTTGTTTGCGAATCGCGATTCTTGGCTTAGGAGTAGTCTTATACGACCATCGACCCTGAGTTCTTGGAAGTTTTAATTTAGGCAAGGAACTCGTTGGTGTAGTCTGTTGTTGCTGCTGCTGTTGTTGCTGTTGCTGCTGTGGTTGTTGATTCTTCTGTTTATTAGTTTGCCTCGAGGAAGAATTTGACTGATTACTTGGTCTGAAGCTGGTACGACGACGAGTCGTTTGTGGTTCTTGTGTCGTGGTTGATGACTTCCCTTCATTCTGGACACGATTTCTATAATATGAAATAAATGTGAACTGTTGAAGAGAAAGGTTCTTAATAGTTTCTCAATGATTGGAATAATCCTACGTAACGTGACATTTACAAAAGAAATTTAACTATTCTCTAACGATCAGTATAATCGTATAATTTATTTATATACTTGTAATTTGGCCGAGCGGTGGTAGGACGTTGTTTCGTTGATGTCCTAGCTTGGACCTCAGCATTGTCATAATCTTCCAAAGTTTTACTACGATATTTTGGACGGTTAGCATTAGCAGTCGAATGTCTTCGTGTTGTTCGTACGGAAGAACCTGATATGAGCAAACAAAAAATTGCATTTTATTATTTCTTTTCTTTTCCCAACTAGTCTCAGTCAAAAGCGAACACTTCCAACACTAATTTATATGCTCGTAAAGGAGATAAACAACCTGCTGGTGCGCTGAATAGAATTTCCAATGGCAAGGACGATTCTTCTTGCTGACTCGTCGGTGTAGGCTCCAACTGTGGTTTTAACTTTCCGTGTTGCGGTCCGATCGTCTTTAATATTCTGAGAGTATTCGACGGTCGTATTTTGCCCTCCAAATTCGAGGATGTCCCGACGATAATGCGCGACGAACTTTGTAAAACTTGCGCGTATTTTCCATTTATATACGTGCCAATTACACTAGTTTCGTGAACCGTCGTCAATCCGTCTTTAACAATTGTACCACCTAATTTAGTTACCAAACCAGTTGGATTCTCTTTCTCCCTTCTTGTAGCTGGTCTTGGTTTGGAAGCAATTTTACTCGTAGGTTTTAAATTGATCAACTGAAATGCATAGTTATTACATATAAATGTGTGTGTGTGTATAATAACAGGTCGTAGGATTAATTGTCAAGGATTAGCAAATGATTGAAATATGTTAATGAGAAGATAAGTTATATATACCTTGTACGTTTCATCGATGACTTCAGTTGGCTGTTTCGATAAGTAATCGTATTCAGGTTCAGCAAGATTATTTTTTACTCCTGGAAATTCTTCTTTTGATTTAACTTGAACGATGGAAGATGTTACGGGATTCACCGTAGTGGCTTTCACGGAAGAATGCGAGGTCTAAAATGTAATATTATATTTTTATATTTTTTTTGGGGATGGGTTCTTTTGTGAATTGAAGTTTTGTTAAAATTGTTACCACTTCGCTTTTAATAATTTGTTTCTGTTTATCTTCGGTTGGATTGATAACGTTTTGCTCTACCACTGAATTTACTACGACTTTCGAATTTTTCTGTCCCTGCTTTTTCGTTTCTCCTCCTTGATTACTTGGTTTATGGGTTTTACTCGGTTGAATATCTGGAATGGGCTTTTTCTCGATAGGTTTCGTTTGTATCGGAGGCCCACTACTTTTTGGTTTTTCTCCTTCTAAAATATATAAATTCAAAATTGTATTATGATAATAACGTGAATATATTTATCGTAGTATTATTAACCTGGTGGTGAACTTTGTGGACTGAACACCATAACTGTGTTTCCAATCGTTGTAGTAAAATCCAAGAATCCGTAAACAGTCTGTGTCGTAAAATCAACCTTTCCAACCGCAGGATCCACCGAATTAACGCCATAAATTTGTCCCGAATAGACAACAACTGGAAACGAATGGATAAAGAAAACTTGTAGAAATAATTTTACATAATTTAGATATATAATATGTTAATACAAATAATTTGGAATGTTATTTGATATAAATTAATCTCACAAAATAAAAGAAAAACAAGAAACAAATCTGATCGTAATAGAAAATATCTTAAAATGATAAACTTTCATTCGTTGAAGTTTTTCTTTGATTTCTTTTGATGATAATTTATGTTAATTTAAACAATAACATCCCACAAACGTTCACATTCCTTTCAGGAAATAAAATTTTTCTTTTCAATTAGAAATATTACATCTCGGTCAGGGTTAAACAAATCAACAGATTAAAATGATCAATTAACAGATGTTTTTATATAAGAATAAGAATAAAAAAAGAAAATAATTAATTATACTTACCGTAAGTGAAAATTATGGATATTAGGTGTCTCAGCTTCATTGTTTTGGTTTACGTCATCCGTCTAAATATGTTAATCGGCAAATCTGAAACACGAAGATTTATTTATGATCGTTTAAATCATCACAGGAGTCATTTAAACTTGTTCCATTCTAAATTTATCATTGATAACCAATATGAAAAGGACTTCTTTTAGTTTCATTAACTTTTTTGCAACCATGAAAGTAGACGAAAATGATCATATAACGGTGACTATGAAATTTCATCATTTCTTATTGTTATTTAAATTTATATTCATTTTCTAACAAAAGCCTTTAATTTAATATTCAAACGCGATATGAATTATGACTATTATTAAATCTATGGGGAAAAAAATAAAATTCTATGAGTTTTAATAATTCGATCTACAATAAATTTAATTTAATTGATTCGTTGATTTGAAAAAAAAATATAAATTATTTTCGATCGAAGTAATTAAAAAATACACAAAGTTGAGATTCTTTCGAATTTTTTTAGATTTTATTATATAAAAAGTTGAAAAAAAAAAATCACAAATTTTGTTATCGAAAAAAATAGTTATATCGTCGTAAATTTAAAATTCTCAAAAATTTCGTGAATCTTCCCACGTGTGTATACTAAAAATACAATCTTAACGAGTTTAAGTTCATTGACATCGAAGAATAAATAAATTTCGAAGATTTTGATGATAAAACATCGAAAAATCCTCCTAGAGAAACCCTGAACTTAAAATACCATAATCCATAATTATACAGAAGTATTGCTTCATTCATTCCGGCTGTTCGAGCTTTGCCGAAGTCACGTGCAGATAAGATTTGTCGCGTGCACGAGGAAACCGCAAGGTAAAGTGAAAAGTAACGATATACATATATTAAGATTTTTATGTTGGGAAAGAAAAGTGGACTGTTGAGTAAATTTACGTTCGATACCAGTTTCTTTCTAGGTTAAATAATAATAACAATAATTATAATAATAATTATTATTTATATAACTATTTTAAATTGTATAATAAGAAATATTTTCAATATTGTCTAATTACAATTATTATATTATATATATATATATATATATATATATATATAAATCTCTGAAGATATTCAGAGACAGAAATCAGTACACATGAAAGTTTGATGATGAATATCTTTTGAACGCTTAATTTAATCGCCAAAACATAAGACACCATTTTTATAGAGCAGTTAATTTCCTACAAAAATTTGTATTACGCATTTTATAATAGTCATTTATTGTCGAGTTATAAAATTCATAAACAAAAATGAAATTTGTCTTAAAATAATCAAATTTAAATCTTCAATATCATTCAAATGGTGAGGTTTACGGAAAAAATATAAGATACCTTTTTTGTAGAGCATTAAATTTCCTACAAAATTCTTTCAGAACATTTTTCTGTACAATCAATTAATGATGAGGTTATGAATTTTATTCTATTGGACTGAGAAAAAAATAAAAAACTGCGATGCGGAGGATCTTCCTATTAAAATTAAGAGCTCATATTTGGTGAGAATTTTTTTAAGGTGCTTAGCAACCCATTTTTCCGTGGCATTTGTAAAAAAAAAAATAATTGATTTTTTTGACCCACCCTAATATATATATTATTTATATATTATTATTATATATAATATAATTATTAATAATATTTTTATAAATTAATGTTATTATATATTATTATTTTATTTATTATTATATATTATTATATATATAATTATTATATATAATATTATTATTAATAATATTTTTATAATTAATATTATTATTTTATATTTTTATATTTAATAATATTTCATAATATTTAATTTCATTTTCCAAATATAATTTACAAAAAACAAAAATAATAATAAAAAACATATAAAAAATTAAATATCAAAAAATAAATTTAACTATAAAATAAATTGTATAATAATAACAATAATGCAACTAATTTATCTAAGTATAATAATATATATTAACGTAATCGCGTAAAGTTACCGAACCATAACATAACAATGGTAATACTAATGCAAGTAATATAAGATCAAATCGTTTATCGAGTCAGGAATATAAGAAAGATCGTGTGGATAAGATTCAAAGAAAAAAAAATAAATAGGGAATATCAAAAGTTTTCATCCACGCATTATTACCGGGTCGTGTGAATCCCATAACACAATTATCATCATCGTACAATTATCATCGCGCAAATACCATCGCGCAAGCATCGTCGCGCAATACTGTAAAGTTGCATTAGTAAGTATATAAAATACAATATATATGTATATTTGTATATAACGTGTATCTCCCACGAAAGGTAAGACTAGTCACTCGTGAGAAAAATCACTATAATACTTACATATGTAAGTATTTACGAATGGAAGGAAGAAACGTCAGAAACACTAGAGTTAGAAGAATTTCTGCATATATATACATATGCATTTTCAATCCTTAAGTATACTAACAAGGATCATTCATTTATGTAAGATCCATCAATCAATCAATATTAATCAAGATCAATCAATTGAGGAAGACAAAAATCTAGTAATTTTAAATAAAATTGTTATTGAATCTTTTCCAAAAGTTTCCCTTACTTTTTTTTAATAATAAATAATTTTTACATGCACAATATATATATATATATATATATATATATATTTTGTATTTTATATTAATTTATATAATTACTAATTTAATATAAAATATATAATTTATAATCTCTATAATATATTAATAATTAAACTTAATTATAAATTAATAAAATAATACAATATAAAAAATAATATTAATAATTATATATATATCGCAAGATTATTATTAAATTTGATCTAATTTAATTTGTCATCAAGTTCAAAAAGAATAAATTAAAAGAAAAATTGTTCTTTTTTTATACTCGTTGTTAAAAAATGTTAGAATATTTTAATTTGATCAAACATTCGTCTTAACGCGTTACAATTTGATTTCCTGTAAAAGTAAAGGAAGGAATAGAAGAAAATATATAAAATAAAAAAAAAAAGCTTAATCATATTCGTTTCTTTCTGCACCAACGAGTTTTCCATTACCGTTTCTAGCTTCCAATACTTACACATTAGACCATAAGTCCATTTGGTGGTCTATAACTATCGCTATTGCTAAATCAACATTCCTCAAGACATGAACGGTTCGTTCGTTCGTTCGTTCTCTTCTAGGACTGTTAAAAGAGTTCGTCACGTGCGCGCATTCGCATCCAACAACGAACGTTCTTAGCCGGTAAATACAGTAAGAAAAACCACCGGCAAACAAGATACCACCGATTCCATCATGGCAATCCCGTTTTACAGAGAGAGAGAGAGAGAGAGAAAGAGAGATATCGTGCGTTAGACCGTGCGAAGTTACGTTCACTATGAACACTATGTATACTACTGCAATACTTTTATATTATACCACCCATGATCGTATAAAAGTATTTAGTGCACTTTTGCCTGTATTGTGTGTGTATATCTTTCTTTTTCTCTTTCTCTTTTTTTTTTTATTTTTTTTTTTTATAATACATTGAACGACTCTCAACCTCGCTTTCGAGGAATGTGATCCTAACTTGATAACACGTTAGTACCATTACCTTTTTAAGTTACGCTTCAATGAATTCAAAATCATTTTCAATGATAATATTTAAATGTATTTATACATATATGTGTATATATAATTATATGTATTGGTTAGTATGCAGATGGTTCATCCTGTTTAGCAGGTTTACCGAACAACATTTCTTCAAAGCTATACGAGTTATCCTGATATCAAGGACGTCTTTCGTACTTGATTATTTCATTTTATCTTGGAATATATAGATCATGATGAGATTGTTATATATCATTCTGATAAGGGATGATGACGATCATATGTGAATATGTTAGTTAATATCAAGTTAATTTCATGTTCAAATTAAAGTTATTTTTAAAGGATTAATTAACTTTATGAAAGTGAGCAGTAGATATCTAAAAAAAGAAATAATTTTTTGGTGGCAACCCCGTTAGTTAGTTTCGTAATACTGACTTCATTTACGTAGAAAAATGCTCGGTTTCTCCTAGTTGCGTAGTTTTTTTAACGGGCTCATCGAGTGTGTAATTTAAAATGGGTTAACAGAGTCGATGGTTTTTAATAGTAACGATGAACAATCTAGGATTATTGGATAAGTGGTAACGGGTGTGTATATTGTAAATCTCTCTCTCTCTCTCTCTCTCTACACATATATAAAAATATACTCATACACGCACACGCACACATGTATATATGAACACATAGGCGTCGATACAAGGAGATGCACTTTCCCTTGGATTTTATCGGCCGTTCTGCTACGCGGATGTGAGATCCTAATCTTTAGTAGACTTCAAATTCAACGATGATCGAAAAAGTACGTTTACTTCCTAGTTGAATTAAATTGTCGGAAGTGTATCAGTTGGGCTTTATTGTTTACAACTACAATATTTCAACATTAATGGAATAAATAGGTAAATTAGGTTTTAATAATGCAAATTAGTTAAATACCCCTAGTAGCACAAAATATTGAAAAATATTGAATACATGTGTATTTAATATTAAAAAGACATTATATTTCTTTTTAATATTATATTAATAATTACAATAAAAATTAAATAATATTTTTAATATTAAATACATATGTATTCAATATTTTTCAATATTTTGTGCTACTAGGGACTTTTCTATCAAATTTCTTATTAAGTCTGATCTCAATATTAGATAATAAAGAGATCTTGAATCGTGACCATTTTGTAAAAAAGAAGAATTTAGTGGATACTAATGAGAAAATATCTTCTTATATAAGGATTAAACTGAATATTTCTACCGTGATATATTTTTAAGCATTAAGAAGAGACTATGAGAATAGAAAGCTGTGTGAATAAGAAGAGTACAATTGACAAGTAAGATGGGGTGATGGTGATTCCTTGTAACATGATAGAAGATACAACTAATTAACTATATTATGTATGCGTGTAAGTATATTTATGTGATATAATACCAATGAAAAAGGACCAGTAATCAGAATTAGTTATTCTAATGTTCATAATGTTCAAAATTAAAATGAGAGAGAGAGAGAGAGTATCATAGTTTATATAAATAAGAATATATTCATTTTTTGGTAAATTATATCTTAATAGTATAAAACATTCCTAGAAAAAATTTAGTATACATTTGCATAAATTATCAACACATTTATAAAATTGAAATATTTTAATAGGACTTCGAAAAAGCGGATTCACGGATATACATATTATATCCGCTTTCGGATGATACTTAATATAGAGAGTCAACAACTCTCGATACGGTAAATGCGGATGATTCACTTTCTCTGATACAGTTAGAGGAATGAAATTACACACTTTAAAACGACAAAAACAAAAACAAAATGAAGGGAATAACAAAAATCCGTAATTTTATTTACTTTCTATTTAAACAAAGATTCAAACATTTCAGTGGAGAATAAAAATAAATTGAAATGAAAATAAACACGTGAAACTATTTCAAAAAGACAAAGTAAAACGTTAAAGGATCCTTTCGAGTATTTAAGGATCACAAACCCTCATCGAGTATCCAAACTTGATATCCTCGAAGGTAACAAAAAAAGGAGTAAAATAAAAAAAGATGGGTCGATAATGAAACTAAGTAAGGTTTTATTATTTTTTATTTCTTTTTTGTTTTTTTTTATTATTCATCAAGAAACTAACACACACTTTTATTTCTCAGGGTCGACAAGTTTTCGAGTGTGAAAGTTAATGTGCATCGTTTGATTCTCCTTTATCGGAAAATTTCCGCATATTCCGAATACGTGACCGGTCCATGCCCAACGTGCTGATTTTATTTAAGTGTCCATTGAACCCGATAATATTGGATGAAACAACATTGTGCAAAATAATTGTGTTGGATACTATCTAGTCATTTTGATTTATCGTAATCTTTTTATCCTTGAAAATTTATCAGTGGTGACAAATCGATAACGAATAATACAATGATAGACATATTCTTCGATTAATATTCTAAATTTTTTTAACACTAGATATACCATCATTTTCAGTATACCTATTTCTACCACATTAGTCAAAATGACTTGTGTACAAAAAAAATGCTTTTTGAGACTTCCAGGTTTTATTTACTCTTAAAAAATAACAAAAAATGTTTAACAATAATAATTTTAATARATAAATAGATTTATAGACATTTTTAGATAACAAACAGCAGCTGGTCTGGTATATCTAGTGTTAATACTATTTCTATATCATATCTATACTACTTTCATATCAATAAAAATGCTAATTCGTAGAACTAACTTTCCAACAACTACCAAAACCATTTCAATAGGATTAAAGATTCTTCTCTCTAAAAAGATTTATTCGTTACGTTTTCCAAAACGAAAATATTTGATTAAATCGAATGAGATAGAATATGATTGCAACAAAACGTCACTTTCATAAGATCCTTTCGTTCGCACGTTATTCTCAGTGGTCACGTGCGCATAACCGATTCACTATTTAAAAGACGTGAGTTAGGTGTGTCACTTGTTGTAAGGTACAACACAACATTACTACCACCAACCCCGTTTCTTTCAAAATAGCTGAGATAAAAAATGTATGTATATACGTCATTGAATATGAAATGTAATGAAAAGAAAGAGAGAGAGAGAGAGGTTTCTTTTTTCTACATTATCTACGTGCTTGAAATATTTCATGTCGTTTTATTTTACTATTGTTTTGTAACAAGCCATGAGTCGAAAGTTTGCAACAGATCATGGATCATCTTTGATGAACCATCCGTGTGTATGATAAATGTTTTTTTTTTTTTTTATTAAAAGAGAAAGAAAAATAAGAAAAACGGGGTCAGTGGGACGAAAATAAGAGCCCTATAAGAAAAAAAAGTATGGGTATGGACCACTCGCGAAAAAGTTGCTTATTTTTGATAAAGTATTCATTATTTATTTGTTCATCGATGATTCTTAAGTAACACAATACTCGAAACAAAGTGTATTCACGATTAAATATTCTAAACGTATGTCCAAAAGATTTTGGTCGAATACTAACGAGTTTAATTCTTTACCATTATAAAAGTCACATTGAGGTGGGTTTTTTTTTCTTTTTTTGTCAACGGAATTACTAATCAGAGGACACAAAGTAACATTCTTGCATGGACATCAATGTGTGGTGATATCTATAGATACATAACTTGTCATTGTTATTATAAACCCGTCAAAAATTTTGATACTTCGCATGAATTGCATATGTATATATGTAGATGTATCTGTGTGTATACGTATGTGTACATCATGCGTAAAAAAAAATTAGCAAAAAATAAGCAAATATTTGTGACGATGATTAAAAAAAAAAGAGAAAGGAAGAAAAATATAAAAAAAAAATTGAATAATAATTAAAAACGTAAATTCTCGTTATTAAAATAAAATTATTTTTTTTCAGATATTTCAATCATCGATCAAAAAAATTAAAGAAAAAACGACCACTGACTGTGATAACAAAAATAAGATTCAAACATTTTGGCGGTTTAACAAAAAATGTTAAATGAAAAATGACTTAGAATTAATTAATAATAAATAAAGATTAAATTAAATTTTATATGCATTTACATACCCAACGTTTGTTGGAGGTAAGATCTATCACTCTTAGGGTGATGGTGGTGGTGGTGAATAGTATCAGTAGTAGTAGTAGTAGCAGCGTGAGACGAATTCGAGTCTCTGAGTAAAACTCACAACGATAATTCGATGTTGTCGCGATTCACAACACTCGACATTCTTTAGAGCTCGCCTTGGAGTGACTGGATGGTAAAGCGGTTTCCCTCTCTTCTCTAGGCCCGCCGGCTTCTTTACATTCTACTCCAGGCCCCGATCATGGGCTTTCACTTCATGCAGCCTAACAGAAACGGCGAACGGTGATCGTACGACGACAACAGTTTTACAGCGTCTCTCCCGTATTGGTCCAGTACTTCCAACAAGAAACGGATAAACATATATATACAGCTTGTTTCACCTATAAAATTATATTCTTATTCTATGTCGAAGAAAATAATCTATTTTATTCTTTGATATTCGATTCAAATCGAAAATGTTTCTATAAACAAATGTTCATCCATTTACATATTCTCTTCAAAGGGGTTGCATTGTTCCCACAGTTTTGTACCCAAGTATTTATTAGAGAATCGTGCGTTATTTTCTTTTCTGTAATGCGAAACAAGGTGATCATTAAAAAGACGCAGGTAATTGTTTTTGCAAAAAATTGACCGATCTTATGTTAGCTTTGCCAATACCATAAGATGCGCATCATGGGATTGGCTAAATCGGCATATTTTTCTCCGGGGATGGATAATTATAACTCTTCCGTAGCATGACTTTCTCAACTCGTAACTCTGGAAAAATTGAACAGAGAGAAAGCACAACATCGTATAATCGTACAATTTGTATCCAATGGTTGACTCGTTTAATAACGAATTGTTATGAAATATTAAACGTCCTCATCTTTGTTCAAGGTTAAGTAATTATTCGGATGGAATTTCATCTATTTTTTTTTAAACGTTATAATTAAAATCATTAAAAAAGTAAATTTCGTTGTTTTAACGACTAGAAGGTTAATTAAAAGTAATCTCGTTAAAATAAAATCGGAAGGGTACCACCATTGGTATCTTTATCACATATTTCGTAATTTAACTTTTACTAGTTCCCATTTAATCAATCTATTGCGCTGAATAAGGAGGTTCGAAGGAGCACTGGTAAAAGTGAAAATACAAGGAGCTACAAGAGTTAGCGGAAAGTGTGTGTGGAGAAAAGAAAACGAGAAAGAGAGAGTTAGATGAGGAGATCGGAAGAAATAAGGAAACCGAATTGAAATATAAGAATACGAAATCAAATATATCAATTAATATGAATGACAACATTCTTTAATTGGTCAAGGATTTCTCTTGAATTTACCGGTTTTTCTTATTATTTTCTTTTTATCTATTATCCATAATCATTAATTTATATGCATGTACGTGTATATATGTAGGTATATACTATACCATTCCATCCATGTTTATGTTCAAAGTATCATATTGCGACCATGACAGTAATTAGTTTCTCTTCGCTCATATCAATTGTTTCTCTTGCGCACAAATTGGTTTACCATATCTAGGCATGATTGTTAGTGGAAAAAAGATGAGATTTTATCTGGCACGATCTTCCTCTTCTTGCTCTTTGTTCCTGAAAAGTACTGTTATTTCGTAAATCCTAACTTGTATTCTCTTGAAACGTATAAATCCTTGAATACACAATTATATTGTACATGTACATCCATACTGACAATTCTTACCACTAACTTTCATGTATATGATTTTTTTTGTTTATATAATATACTAGGTGTCCTATAATTGGTAGTACAAACAAGCAAGGGGGAACAATTCTACATGAAAAACTAACAATAAGTCTAAAAGGAATCAAATTTGTTCATATACAGAACACCATTTATTATGAACTCCTTATTTGAGCCTTGACAAAAAAATAATTTTATTTTTTTTTAAATAAAAGTAAACTTAAGCGAAAGAAAATGGTTTTTCTTCCAAGCATCAAATTTTTCAATCCAGCTAAAAATTATTAAATGAAAAATCCATTAATATATGAACCATGAATTTTTTTTACCAATAATTTTTCTTTACGATACTATTGTTTATTATTATCGATTTTATATGTCATTATTTCCAATAATGTTTCCATTGACTTTCATAAACTTTATTAGACCGACATTACTTTTTATTCTACAATGTATAAGAAATTGATAATATCTTTTAACAAATTAATATCTGTTTTATTAAACGGTCTTTTACAAAGCAATTCCATTTCTTTATGCTATTAGAAATATATAAATCAAATTTTTTGTCTATCTTGATAATTAATTATTTATTTGTTGTCCATTTTGATTATTGACTTTCCAATAAAATAGATTTAAACTTTCAAATTTCGCGCAAAATTCAACATAGATGGCGCTGACACTGTATAGTATAATCGACCAATGAACGTCAAGTGTATCAAAGCAAAGAAATGGCGTCTAATTTAAATTTTATTCATTAATATAATTTAATAACTTTGTTTGTACTTATATAAGAGTTTAATAACCTATGTTTATAAGATAAAAATAAAAAGTATACTTAATACATGTACATAATCATAATTGTATTGTTTCTAGATTACTTTATCTTCTGTGAATAATTATAGTTAGAAAGATCATTGTGTACGCTCGTCTAGAATCACAGTCGAAAATTCATGTGTTGTTTGTATACTTTTTTGCGTCACATTTTTCGTACTCGAGTAAGATGATATGTTGATATTTATAATTTACTTTACCCAAAATGAGTAATCAAACAGACGATAATAGTTCGGAAAGTGAAAGTGAGTTTTTTGTATCTCCGAATGAAATTGATTTGGATTCAAATTTTTTCCATAACAAAGGGAAAAAGACTAACGTAACATTACGCAAAGCCGGCAATTGTGAAAATTCCGACGATAGCGATGAATTTAGCAACGTCAATGATAACAATTCTGTTGAAATATTTAGCCAAGTATTAAAAAATTTGGAAAATACTCAAGCGATTTGTACACAAAGTGAACAAAATTCTGACAAAAATGAGACTACCATTGATTCATCAACAAAGCAAAAGAAAACAAAAGTTATATGTTCTGAGGATGAGAAAAATCATCTATCCCAACACGTGAATGAACTTTTGTTTGAAGGAGAAGGTAAAACGTTTGAGTTGGATGGTAATGAAGATAACAGCGAAGATGAAAAATTAAATGATGCAGCTGGTTCTGATAATTATACTACTCCAAAAGAAGGAGTAAAAATAACGTTACCTGGTACTGCTGTAATATTTAACAAAAAGAGGAATGGTCCAGATTTAAATACAATTATTGAAAATCGAATCAATCAGAGGTTAAGGGCTAATCAAGTATTGATACACAAAGTAGGAATACTTTGTTGGTTTGCACATGGATTCCATGTGAATAAAGTAATCAATGATACAGAAATAATGTCTGCATCGTTGTCCCTTATTCCAACTGAAAATTTACCTAAAAAGAGGTCTGATTTGAAATATATAGAAAAATTTGTCACATGGTTTAAAAAAAAATTTGTATTCAAGGAGAAAGAAGAAAAAGAGGAATGTATAACAAAAGATATGTTGTTGAAAAGATTAAAGGAGAAAGAAGTATTTAATTATAAAGAATTAGTATTCTTATGTATAGCAATGCTCAGAGCAATAGGATTAAATTGTCGTTTGATTATATCTTTTCATCCACCACCGTTAAAATTACAACGGAGTCAATTGTTTACTTCTAAACCAAAAGAAAAGAAAGACACAGATAACAAGAATTCTGATAAACCTATTAAAAAGGAAAAGACAATTAAGACAGAAAAAAATACTAAAACGAAGAGAGGTAAGAAGACAGAAAAAAATACATCTCCAGAAAAAAAAATAATCCCAGAGAATAGCGAAACTGCCAGAAAAAATGCTCAATTGGAAGCAAAGAAAAGGGCAGCTGAAATTCTTAGCGAAAGAACAACACGAAGTAAAAGTATTAAGAATAAAACGAGTACAAGTACTTCTAACGAAACTACAAATAATAAAAGTAATGTGGAACAGACAAAAAAATCTAATACTAAACAAAATGAAACAGAAAAATCAGAGAATTCTGATAAAACAATAAGCAATACTATATCCAGACAATTAAGATCTCGAAAACAAATAAAACTATCAAATGAGGATAATCCTGTAGATTCTAAATCGACAAAGAAAGAAAAAGTTACTACTACACGTTCGACAAGAAGTAAACAAAAGAGCAAAGTTGTAGAAGAAGATTCTTTTGAAGAAATGGATGAAAGTTCATCCGAAGAATATGACTCTGAAAAAGAATTTGCTCCTCCAAAAAAGCGGTCTATTTCTAAACCTAAAAACAACGTAAGAAAATCATCTATAAAAAAAGAAAATAAATTATTGTCTTCAGATGATGAAGCAAATGATGATATTAACAATACAAAGAATAATAAAAATTTCTGGTTGGAGGTATATGTGGAATCAGAAGAAAATTGGATTAGTGTAAATATAATGGATGAAAAAGTACACTGCGTGAATGAGTTATATGTAAGTAAATATATAAATATACACCCCTATACTTTATAATGAATATTATAAAATTAATAATGATCAATTATTTTCATTAAGAAAGCAGCTTCCAAACCAGTATTATATGTTATCGCTTGGAACATGGATGGAACGTTGAGAGATGTTACAAGACGTTATTGTCCTCATTGGCTTACCGTTACACGTAAACAACGTATTGATGAAAATTGGTTCAAAGATACATTGCATCCTTGGAAAGAGAAAAAGTCAGCTATATCAGAAGCAGAGGATAAATTATTAGAACAAAAGTATGTATATTTTTTTGAAATATATTAATATTATATACTTAATATAAAAATTAAATCAATTATTTTATTTTCTATTACAGGGAATTAGAACAACCTTTACCTAAGACAATTGGCGAATGTAAAAATCATCCACATTACGTACTTATTAGACATTTACTTAAATATGAAGCATTATATCCTTCAGATTGCGTGCCATTAGGTTATTTACCAAACGGCGAAGCAATCTATTCTCGTCATTGTGTATATGTACTTTCTTCTAGAGAAACATGGTTGAGAAAAGCACGAGTTGTTAAGCCTAATCAAGAAGCTTATAAAGTTGTTAAAGCTCTTCCAAAATATGACAAGGTATATTAATTAAAGATAAACATATTATAAATTAAAACAAAATGTGTGAGCTGACTAAATATAATAATTATGTATACACAGCTTTCAGGAGCAAAATTAGCAGATAGAATGTTAGAATTATTTGGCGAATGGCAGACTACTGAGTACGTTCCACCAGAAGCTAAAGACGGAATTGTTCCTAGAAATGAATATGGAAATGTAGATTTGTTTCAAAAATCTATGCTTCCAAAAGGAACTGTATACATTGATCGTAAGTGACATTATCATTATTAAAATAATATATTATATAAATAATCGTAAGATTAAAGTAATAAATAAATTTGTATACAGTTCCAGGATTAAATCGAATTGCACGAAAATTGAATATTGATTGTGCACCTGCAGTTATCGGTTTTAAATTTGGAACTATGGGAGCTTTACCAGCGTTCGAAGGTTTCGTTGTTTGTACAGAATATGAGGATACTTTAAGAGAAGCATGGGAATCAGAACAAATAGAAGCAAAGAAACGTGCTCGTGAAAAACGTTTCAAAAGAATTTATGGTAACTGGAAAAGATTGATTGACGGTATGCGCATTAAAGAAAAATTAGCTGAAAAATATGAATTTCATAAAGAAAAGACTACGACAACGAACTCGACTAAACGTACAAAACAAAAAACAACCGATGCGAAACGTCAAAAAACTACGTAAGATTATTTTCGTAATTATGATAAACAGATTGTTTATTATTAATAATTGTGCCGTGAAAATATTTTCAAATTTTCTTTGATTATATTATTTCTTCTTTTTTTTTTTACATTTTCTTGTTTGTTAAAGAATTGTATACAATATAAGAAATTTCGTATTTATATTTTTATACAAGCATAAATGAATAATATTGATATACTTATTTGTAAAATAATATATTCAATATATCAAACGTGATTCTTTATAGTATTACAATATCTCATTATAAAAAGAATTTTCTATTTCATATTATATTATACACTAGTTAAAACTAAAATGTAAATAAACCATATATAAAGGATTGTTCATCAGCAAGTTCATCAGAATTCTACTATGCAGCAATATTTTTTAAAATACCATTACGTACATACAATTTATATTAAGAAGAACATTTTTAAAATATTGTAATCAACAAATGTAAGCAATATATTATAAAGAGTATACATAATTAGGTATGTATGATTTGTTTCATTCATAAATAATACCTGTTTACATTTTGATTTTAAAAACACATAGATACATATTTGAAAATGTTAAAAAAAATGTTTCCCTCTGGTGGAATTTTTTGTCAACAGTCGACAATTCTGCCATCTAGTGGTAACACGTACTAAACAAATATTATTTTATCAATGATTTATCTAAAATATATGTGATCTATGCTATAAAACTTTAGAAACTTAGCATATATTATGATATATACATTATGTTTGTGTTGTCTCATGTTGTTTCTTGCATATAAAATCGAAATTCATAATTGTGATTCACAATAAACAAACACATGAAATATATACAATGGAACGTTATTAAAATTGAGAAGAATGAGATAAAGGATTAATAGGAACACTTAGAAATTCGTGTTTCCAAAACTGACCTTTCTTTTCTAAATCGACATCATTTTTAAATGTCAATCATGGAAAGTAAAAGTTGTAACAATTTTGTAAGTTATGTGGGATTTGAAGAACTTGAAATGCAGGTATTACATTTTTCATTTGTTTTTTTACTTATGCAATAGAAAAAAAATTCTATGAACAATTATCATTTAATTTATATAATTAAGCAATATTTATGTATGTGTATACATTTTTTAATTATAAAATCTGTCATAGATAAAAAATTATATTTGTCTTCATACCAATATAGATTTGTATGTTTGCTTTTTAATTTTGATCATCTACAATATGTAATTTAAAAATAGATGAATTTTAAAAAGTTATTTAAAGTTATTGCACATTAATTATACTTATTTAATATGATGAGTAATATCATTAATTTTCTATCCATGTAGCAAATAGAATCTAGTCAGCGTAATTCATTGATTGAAAATAATTTAAAACTTTTACGAGGAGAAGCTCTTGTTGCTAAAGCACAAAATGTTTTAATGTTTTCACCAGTTGGTGATTTAAAACAAGGAACTTCCGGCGTACTTTCTATTACTAATTTTAAGCTCTCTTTTATTACAACCGATGATCCTAATGGAGAGGTAATCTTTATTATATATTATTTCGTTTATTAAGTTTTAATATATATTATATTTTGTATGTATAAACAATTTTTTCATTTATAGGATAATTATCATCAACAAAATCATTTGTATGGGTATACAGATACATGCTTGACAAATATCGACGAAATTTACTTAATAGCTGGTGATAAAAAGAAAAAACTTCTTCCAGGAAGTATAGTACCGTCCAAAGTAAAAGCGATATTTATTACTTGTAAGGTAAACTTTTTTTTTTTTTTAATACAATATCTTTAGAAAGTTAATCCATTGAACATTATTGCAAGATACAATTTTTATTCTAAGTAAGCATGTGATACACACATGTTACATTTATTTCATTTCTAATAAAACATAAGACAAAAATTTGTAAACAAATCAGATTAAAAGTGATTTTGTTAAATATTTATTTAGAGGTTTAGTATTTGTTTTATTATAAACAAGCAATGCAAGTTTTGGTATTCAATATGTTGAAAAGAACTTGAACATACCGGCCATATTTATTTCAATTAGTACTCTACGTTAGAATATTGTTAAAAGTCATGGCAATTAACAGTTCTTATCTATTTTTATTCTTCGTTAGTCTATATCATTTTAAAGCAATTATGTAGCCTTCTACTGTCTTTATAACAAACAGAGATATCTAACTGAAATAACTTTAATTTAGATATTTCCAAATAGATAATTTCCTCATGTGTGACACATGAAATTTTCAAGTAAAACATATATGACCGGTATATCGAAAATTTATTTAAAAGAAAACATTTTGATATAAATAAAAATTAAATTTTATAATAATAACAAATTAATAAACTATAGACTGCTTTGATACAAATATTATTTATTATTAAATATAATACATTAGAAATATTTATGGTTTCTTTCAGAATTTGAGAACATGGTCATTTTCGTTTAAATTTTCACCTCTCGGTGATGGAAAAAATATTTTAAATGCCTTATTACATCATGCATTTCCTAGTAGACATCATTTGTTGTTTGCATACGATTACACGTTAGTATTACTTTGTATCGTCAACTTTTATTTTTACATAATTTATATAATAAATATTATATTTATATTTTAGTGAACCATATTATAGTAGTCTTGATAAAGGTGTAAGATTATTTAGTAATATATCCGATTGGCAGAATGAATTTGAACGTATATTAATTAGCGAGAAAGCAAGTAAAGGATGGAGATTATCAACAGTTAATAAAAAATATCAGTTGTGTTCCAGGTTGGTTAATATTAATTAAATAATTATTTCAAATTCAAATATATGTTATTAAGAGTATAAATTGTTTATGCAGTTTACCACAATATATCATCGTACCAGCATCTTTAACAAATAGTCAGCTAACAGACGCTGCAAAATGTTTTCAAGGCAATCGATTACCAGTTTGGGCATGGTCTAATCAACATGGTGCAGCATTAGTTAAAATGCCTGAATTATTACCAACAATTAACGAAAGGATACAGGAAAACATTATGTTAGAAAATGTTAGGAAAAGTCATCCTTGTAAAATGCCACCCCTTTTAATCGATCTAAGTAAAGATATTAGTGTTAAATCAATAGCTGTAAGTTTCTCCAAATTTTCCAGTTTGTGTTCTCCAGGTTAGCATTACTGTATTATTCGCAATACAATTTTTTATGTTTTTTTTTTTTTTTTTTTTTTTAAGAAATATGACTTTAATTGAACAATATTCATAATTGATATTTACTTACTTTCAGAAAATATTAGACAACTTTGGATACAAGATAATAATTTCTATTCGTTATTGGAAAGTACAAAATGGCTTAAGTATGTATCATACTGTCTAGAAAAAACAATTGTAGCTTGTAAAAGTCTTAAGTCAGGATTTTCGGTAGTTTTACAAGGTATATATGAAATAAAAGATCAATATCACTTGCTTGCTATTTGCATTTATCATAAGTTTCATTAGCAAAACAATGTCATTTTATTTGTGTTAAGAAGTAAAATATTATTATATATATTTTTAGAAGGAGAAGCTAGAGATTTATGTTGCGTTGTGTCAAGTTTAATACAATTATTGTTTGATCCATATTTTCAAACGATCGTTGGATTTCAATCTCTGATACAAAAAGAATGGGTCGCCAGTGGACATCCCTTTTGTGATCGTTTAGGACATATGATGAAACCAAACACTGAAAAAGTATACAAATATTTATTTAGCATACATTCATTGTAATCTACAATTACTTTTTAATCTAATTGAATTTTTTTGATATTTATAGTCTCCATTATTTCTACTTTTTCTTGACTGCGTTTGGCAACTTTGTCAACAATTCCCAGCAGAATTTGAATTTACTGAAACATATTTGACAACTTTATGGGATGCAGCTCACGTATCTATATTTGACACTTTCATTTTTAATTGTGAAAAAGATCGTATGACGGCAGCTACGGTAATAATTTAATATTTAAAATATACAGGGTGTTTTGCAAATGGCGGTACAAACTTATATAAACAAATTGTATTCTATATTTTCAATTAAGTTTTTCATGTAAAATCATACCTTGCTTGTTTGTACCACCAAGTTATAGGACACCCACTATAACTAATAATATAATTAGAGTTGTAGTTTAGCAAATCAGTATATTAAATTACCAACTTAGATTATTATTGAAATTGAATATGTGTAATAATATTTTAATGACGTATACTTTTAGGATCCAAATACACCGCTTATATTACGTAGTGTTTGGGATTGGAGAGAACAATTTAATGATCAAGATATCTTATTATTCTCTAATCCTTTATTTAACGCTTATGAAAAAACATTAACGGAAAGGATGACCGTTAAACCATTGTACTGTATCTCGAATTTAGAACTTTGGAGCCAATGTTATTTCCGTTGGATACCCCCGCTTGTTATTCACAATGGTGGTAGAAGTCACATAGATCTTTATACTAGATTACTTCAAAATGATATAAATCAATTAAGATTAAAATTAGATAGGAGTTGTGAATCGCCAATTGATAAATTAAGTAGTTATTTACTTCAAATGAATATCGATAGCTTTTATCCATTTAGTAGTAAAAGTTCTGGGAATACCGTTAGTACCCCTATCATAAATAGTACAATACTTGCAACTGAAAGTTTATTGGATGCTCAATCCCTGATAACTGTACCTGATTGACTGTTTTTAATGTATATATATACATATATACCTTAACTTAGGTATAAATTAGTTTTACAGATTTATACCGTACCTTTTATAGTCAATTGTACAGTGTCTTGTTAAAAAAAGATATGTTATTAAATATATTATAAAGATTTAGAAATAAGTGTCTTGAAAATATTAATTATAATTTTTATGTGTACATAATAATAATAACAACAACATTTTGTAGCTTTTTTTTATTGGAACGATCATAACAGAGTATCAAATTTATTTGTTATTAATATAAAAATCAAAATTTTTCAATGAAACATAATATATTAAACATTTATTAATTTATATCCTTTTTGTTTTATTTTTTCTTAAATTTTTCTTCTTTGAAGAATAATAGTTATTCGTAACTATTATAACATTCGGAAATATATATTTACGAAACAATAATATTAAAAGAAATTTTCTATTCGAATCCAAAATAAATGGAAGTCATATTTGCGGTAAATAATCTCTATTTTATATCAAATAATATCTAACGTAGAATAAACGTTATCATTATCAAAAAATGACAAACTTTTTAAAACTTTATGTCAGAAAATATTTCATTCTAATTAAACGACTTATTTTATTTGGTAAAAATTTAGTATCTTTTTTTTTTTTATTACTACATTACATCATATTACTACAAAATATACGACCAAAGAATATAGAGCCGTATGTAAAAAAAAAAAACAAATATTTAAAATATATTTTTTTTTTTCATAAGTTCACAAAGTAAGATAATTTGAATATATTAAAAAAGTATTTTAACTTATATTGTGTATTTTTTTATCATTTATATAATAGTTACTCAGTGTTACAAAATCATCAATGACTGAACAAATAACACATTCCATGCACTTACAATCTAATTGAAATAGTGTTTAATTAAACACATTTCTATAAATATATTATTACAATAGATTATTAGAGAAGTAGATCATGTTTATAAGATTACCTATATATTATTATTATTATTATTATTATTATATTTAAGTATAAAATAAGAGATATTCTTTTATTTGATAAAAGTACATCAATTATGCACGGATTCAATATAAACCTAGAAGTACATATTTAATGCTGATCAATTAATTATAATGCTAAGCAATAATTAAATAAATATTTTTATGTATTTTGTACTAAGCTCAGCCAACGTCTACCTTCTTCGGATACCGACGATGGAAATTTAATTTGAACCAATCTTACAGCAGAATGTTTTTCTTCTTCCACAATTTCTTTATATTCTGCAGGATGGGGAACAGCTGTTTCTCCTTCTTCACTGTCGTTGTAAGTGTATACTTCTTCAACTTGATTTGTTTCATCGTTCTGACATTCTACTATAGTATCTCTTTCAGTGAAATCCATCTATTAAAAAAAGAAACAGACATATCAAATTAATTTCATAAAATATATTATATGTATGCATTATTGTAACATAATATAATATTACCTGTTCATCTACCGTTATTTGATCAACTTCTTCTCCTACAACATTCTCTTCTACAGGTATATTTAAAACACCTTCTTCATTATATATTTGATTATCATCTTGTTGTATGATAACGTGGTCTTTTAAATCAGTAACATACAACGCAGTCTCTTCAATCTAAATATTATTACAAATTATTTATTAATAATTATATGACATATAAAATAAACAAATAAGTATAAAAATAGGCAATAAATAATTACCTGATTGTTTGTACAGTCGTCCATTAACAATTCTGCATTATTTTCTGGAATTGTTATTACTTGCTCATCTTCCGTGGTTAAACGTGGTTGATTAACAACAATTGTATCGTTTAAGTGTCCCTGTTATATAATAATATATTAAGTTATAAATGTTAAAAATATAAATTTAACAATATTTCATTTTTCTGCATTAATAAATAATTAGATTACTAACCTGAGTTTGCATATGAGTATACAATAAAGGCTTTCTCATAAAGCCTGCACCGCAATGTAAACATTCATAAGGCTTTTTGTCACTATGTATGAATCTATGTGCGTTCCTATTATCTCTACTATTGAATGCTTTTCCACATACCTAAAAAAACAATATTAATTTATTTAAAAATAATATATATATAATAACAATAATAATAATAATAAAATCAATAATAACGTACTTCACATAAATATGGTTTTTCGCCAGTATGAATGCGCATATGTTTTTTAAAATGTTCAGGATAAACAAAAGTTGCTGAGCATATATTACATTTATATGGTCTTTCACCTGTATGAGCTGCTTTTATGTGATAATCAAGAAGTCTTCTTCTCTTAAATCCTTTATCGCATTCGCTGCATTTGTATCTTTTGTCATTGTAATGCGTAGCACGTTTATGAGATTGCAAATTGGATCTTTGACTAAAAAATATTTTCTATTTAGATTTTTTCATTTTATATATATATATATATATATATATAAAATATAAAATATTTTTACCTAAAAGTAGCTCCACAAAATTCACATTGATAAGGTTTCTCTCCTGTATGAGTTCGTTCATGATCTCTTATTTCTGCTTTCCTAGCAAATGCCTTCCCACATATTCTGCATATATATGGCTTATATCCGGTATGAACAACATTATGTACTTCTAAGTTATGTGGCGAACCAAATGCCTTACCACATTGATGACAAACATGATCTTTAACGCCATTATGAGTTCTTTCATGTTGATTCAAATTTTGTTGGCTCAAAAATGTTTTATTACATTGCGAGCACCCATATGGTCGAGGTCTTACCTCATGTGTTTTAATGTGAGCTTTGTACGTATACTTTGATGCAAAATCTTTGCCACAAATTTCACAAATATGTGGACGTATTCCAGTATGCGTATTAATATGCTCTTCCAAAAGATTTCTGGAGCTATAAATCACATATTTTGATATTTATTTTGATTCATTACATTATAAAAGGAATAGAAGTATTATCAAATTGTTTCAAATGATTATAACATACCTGTATCTTTTACCACAGGTATCACAAGGCCATGATTTTACTTGTGGATAATGAATTCTCTTATGGATTCTAAATAATCGTAAATTATTAAAGATTCTGTTGCATACTTCACATTGAAAATCACCTTCCTCCGTTGCAACGTGTTCATCCAGGTGAAGGGATAATTGATTTCTTTTTCTAAAGTCATCACCACATACATCGCAAATATATAAACGTGTTTCATGAATTTCTTTCATATGTTTTATAATAGTTTTTGAATCAGCTATTACTTTTTCTTGCTGACCAAAACATATTAAACAAACATAAAAAGCTCCTTCTCTCATGACTATCTGAAAATATTATTTCATATATTTATTATTAGACGATAATTATTATTATTTACTAAAGAGAAAATTTGCATCTACGAGTATATGATATAAATTACCTGTTCTTGAACAGTTTCTTCTTTAACATTAGATTTAGATTTTTTGGAACTTTTCTTTTCTGGTTCATTGTTCGCATCAAGTATGGCTTCTACATTAACAAATACATTTTCAGATTCTTCTATTTCATTATTTTCTTCCAACATCTCTTCGACTACTTCAAATTCTTTCTCATTTTCTTTGCACTAAAAACAAATCATTTGTTAATATATATATTGTGATCGTTCGAATAATTATTTGAATATATAAAATATTCTTAGAGTAGAAAATAATATATATATACATTTAATGAATCAGAAATTTCTTCTTCATCCTTTAATTCAATTTCCATAGCTTGATTTTCTAGATTATTTATATAATCATGATCATTATTATATTCCTCATCATGTTTCGTTAAGTCAGTTATTTTATTAATTGTTTTTTGATAATTACTACTTAAATCTTGCTTTATCTGTAATAATTTATGTTCTAATTCAACAACCTGAAAGCATACAATTAATAATTGTAATATAATTGTATTCAAACTCATAAATAGAGAGAAATTCAAATATTTACCTCATTAAATAATTTATAACATTTTTTACATACAACCAATGAATGTGCTGTTTGTTCATTAAGATTAACTTCTAAAACTGTAGTAATAGTATCGAGAAGAGGCTTTTGAAAAGCAGTAACAGAAGTTTCATTAAATATACGTATACTGCTTCTGGAAGAAGTACCAACTTTATAATCGCAGACTAAGCAATGAGAAATATCCCTTTCATAATCAGCAGTCATCTTTCTTGTAACTGAAAAAGATTAATTACATTGGTTTGTTAATATCAAAATCAAATCAATGAAATAATATCAATTCTTTTAACCCTTTGAATACTTGAATACAATGAATACAAATTATTCTCTTAAATTAAATAAAAAAAAAGGAAAGTTTCTTTCAAACATAATTTTGGTGGTGAAAGACTTCAAAAAAATTATACAAATCTCATTCTTTGCATTTATATTAATAAACATATTATATATGTGATTATAGCACTCAAGGGGTTAAGCAAAAACTGCAAGTATCTCAATCTATCCTTACATTATACATATTCTGCAAATATTTCATTTCTTATATCTTTGAAATTTTATGAAATGTATTATTAAAGCACATGTTTGAAAATTGTAATCAAGTACATATGAATCAGATAGATTTATCTTCATTGGAATGTAAGAAATATAAATATATTTTAAAAAATTATTAGTAACGTGTAGTTTATTGTACTACACATATGGAATATCTTATAAATTCTTAGAAAATGATTATCTATCTACAATCTTAATTTTATAAAAGTCCGATAAATATTGTTGAAATAAAGTAACATTTTTTTTACTACTACAATTATGAACGACGAACGATATTAAAGAATAATAAAAATACATTATAAAATATCCCGTGTCATTTTTCGTTATCATGATATTATTAATGATTATTCATTTATTAATGAACAAGACTTTGAATCGTTTATGGACTTGTTCGACATACGATCAAACAATCGTACCGCATTGCGCACATTTATAAGTAACTGGTAAGACCCAATAACCCTAACAATATTATAACGGACTACAAAACAAAATTTGTTGCATGAATTTCTTGTTAATGGACAGAAAATGAAGTAAAAAGTTGCCAGCACTGACTTGAAATTTTCGTTTCTCGTTCCAAACGATTGGTAGCGAACACAACAACGTAGAGTTT